GAACACTTACAGTTACAACCTTTGCTGAGGCGTGTTTGTCTAATGTCTTACTGAGAACTGTGTTGTATTCCTGCACAGCAGCACTGATGTCGCTGATCTCTCCAAAGGAAGTAAAGTCTTGCTTGATGTCATTTTTGAACCCATTTACATCAATGTTTTTCCATTTGCGACAGGTAATGTTTTGTTTGGTTATATTTGGCTTATCAATGTTTACTGAGCATACAACTGCAAAGTGATCTGATTTGATGCTGTGATCGAAGACAAAGCTTCTGAATTTAAGTTCATCTGATCTTGTGATAAGTAAATCTAGGATATGGCCACATTGATGAGTTGGATATAAAACATGTTGAATGAGACTCCGCAAAGAGAGAATCGAATAGAGCTGTCATGCACTTCTGTTGTTCAGGTTATCCATATATATATATATAAATGTCCGCAGAGTAACAAATGTCCTCCACTGCTGTTGAGGTTGTCAAGGAAATCTTTGAACTCACAGAGTGTCTGCTAATAAGTTGCATAGGGAGGTCTGTAGACAATGTTTATGAATATGTTCTTGTTTTGGATAAAGGTTCGACTGCCAAATGTTCAAACAAATGTGCTTCAAATCTATTCTTAGCACTAGTTGAGCAGTTAATAGTGTCTCTTACCACAAGGGCACAACCACCTCCCCGCTTGCCTTTTCTCGGAGCGTTGATAAGCTTGTAACCAGATGGTACAATCCTGTTCTTGGCGATGTGATCCACATCGCCGTCTCTAAACCAAGTTTCAGTTAAGAAACCACATTGAATATATCTGTTATTAGTTTCCAAGTAGCACACAAGTCGATTCCAGATGTCCAAACAGCATCACAAGTATTCAATAGGGTCTCTAAACATGATTCCTCTAAATGCTTAAGAAGTTGATAATGGATGTTATCAGCTCCTGTAACAGTATCGTGGGCCTGGTCAAGAGCAGTATGGAGCTCATGGGTCGACTTGTAAAGTAAAATTAATAGATTTCTTTTCTTGCTGTTTTTGATACTTTTGGAACTGAGATACATCATTTGAGGAAGAAGAATATTGTGCCAGTGTTTTGCCACGTTTATGAGCAATATCATATTTAATAGTTAATAACTGGTTTCCGTCTTTGAGATGGTGAATGCTGGATCTAGAGCCCTTACCTTTCATTTTCTGGATCATATTCTATACCTTAGAAATAGGCGTTCGGGAATTGATATTAGATACATAGTTTCGCCAAGATTGGCGTTAATTTGTGCGAATGTACTCCGTGCTTTAGCGTTTAAGATTTTAAATTTGTTCAAATTGTGGACCATAGGATGACGACGGAAATAATCTTCAGCTTTTTCCCGTGCCTTCCTAGCCTGTTTGCAAACAGCATTAAACCATGGTTTCCGTATTTGTGGAATTGTAGAGGACGTTAGGATACACTCATCAGCTATGGTGTTTAATATGTCAGATAAATCTTATATAGCATCAGGAACATTAATAAAACGTTTGTCAGTACAGCATACACATATAAAGTCCAGTTAGCCTTTTTAAAATTCCATCTTGACGATGGAGGAACATCAGATGGGTTCACGGGTTTTAATATCGTCGGGAAATGGTCAATTCCACAGAGGTCATCGTGGACTGACCATTCACTCAATAGGTTGGAGTCATTAATTGACAAATCAAGAGCTGAATATGTTTCTGTGCCAGGATGTAAATATGTCTTTGAACCGTTATTATAAATGCATTGATCATTATTTGAGATGAAATCCTCCAGTAATTTACCTTTGGTGTTTGTATTAGTACCACGCCAGGGTGGGTTGTGGCCATTTAAATCCCCACGATCAATCAGGGTTTAGGTAGTTGATCATAAAGAGCTTGTAGATCAGTTAACTGGATAGCAGATGAAGGTGGAAGATACAATGAACAGAGAGTAAATGCAGCTTGTAATGTAAGTCGCACTGTCACGGCTTGGGAGATTTGTTTTGAGTGTGACTAGGTTATGGATAACATTATTCCACACCAGGAAAGATGATCCACCAGTAGCCCTGTCACCTGGGGGAGAAAAATAGTGGTATGCATTAAACTGACGTAGGTCAAAATTACCCGTCTGCTTTAGATTGGTTTCTTGAACTGACGGATTAAGATTGGGTGGAGTTGGTACAATGTTTCTTAGCTTTAAAAGTAGTCCTGATGTCTTTCCATTGAATTATGGGCAAAGACATTATGTTTCCGCGGATGTCACCCTCGATTTCCTTGAGGGTGAGAAGCTATTCCAAACTGGGTCAATCTTAAGGACGATGAAGAATTAGCGAGTTTTGTTTTGGTTTTCCTTCCACAATTTGTTTAAACTGAGGTTGACACGGGTCTTTTTAAAGTTGTTTTGTACCGTTTTGTGAGAAGACATCTCATAGTAGCAGGTAACACGTCAGCAGTCGTGTAGCAGATTGCTCCTCGTACCTCACACTGGCAGTGAGCAAGTACAGGAGATGTATTAGGTCCACGTTGTGGTCATGAATTTATCCATAAGATTCACAACTTTTTAGGCATAACTGATGTAAATGTTATTCCTCGATTTCCTTTTCCAACGGATTAGGGACGATGAAGAATACCCAAACAGTTGACACGTTTTTAAAGTTGCTTGTACAGATTCTGTGGCAATTGCTCCTGCTTTTATTGAGGTTTGAGCATGAATTTATCCGACCAAACTTTTGGATTTACAACGGATTATATACAGTTCAACTTGAAGATTACAATATCCTGCTTTTATTGATCTTGGTGCCGATGGAGACACAAATGAGAACAGGTACGTGTTGTTTGGAACCACTTCTGAGTTCTGACGCCTCGTAAATCGTTTCACGTTCTGTCATGTCCTCTAAAAGATGATCTCTATCTCTGACAATGCCTTTACTAGAATTGAGGGTCCAATGGATTGACACTGAAACAGGGAATCCAGCCAACGTATCAATTGACAGCAGGTTGTCTGATGAACTTAGGCACTCACTCACAAAACATGGGTTTTCGTCACGATATGGCTGAAATATTGCCGATGTGACGTTAAATTTTAACTCACTCACTCACTGATGAACTTAGGTACCAAGTATGGACAGATTCTAGTCAACGGTTCTTAAGATATTCCAATTTGCACGGACGGACGGACGAAACTTAATACTTTGTCCCCCGCTTTGCGCGACGGGGGATAATGAGCCAGTGGTACCAGTCACTGACTTTTGCAAATGTGAGTGTGTGCGTGATGGCGTGAGTGATAGAGTTACTGAGTATTAAACGTCACATGGGCGACTTGCAAACGTAAGCCGAACCTTCCTTTAAGTGCAGTAACCAGTAACCTTTTTTTTAACATTCGACGCATGACGCTCTCTTCAATAATCATATCAAAAGGTTCTGATGGATTTTAAAATCTAAGTATTCCTCAGCAAAACCTGAAGTGATCCTTGTCATCCCAGTTTCATGGAAGGATCTTTTTGGATAGATTTTTTAAATCAGTTTGCTTGGATTAAGACGATGTAAGGTATCTGATCCTGCTAGATTAACAGTCTATATCGGTGGAAGGTAATGATACATGTGCCCATGATATAGTCGGAATTCTACAATAGCTTTTATTTCATGTAAAATACTTTTCTTGAAAATGGTATCCCCTCACGGAATAATACAGGCGTGTTGAGTGAGTTTATAAGACAACAGCTTTCAACGTCGGTTGTCGAACCTTGACTTGACTTCAGTATCATTTAGATATTGCCAGACGTTGGTTCCCAAATTTATCAGTTAAATATCCCTGATTTTCAATCCGGAAAACAAATATTCGTATTTGCGTGATGGAATTTGATATGAACAAGGCAGAAGAACGCCCCTTATATATTGCCTTGATGTTCGGGATCTCTCCATCCATAATAACCTTGGTAAGGAAATGTTGGGATTGTCCATGCACTTTCAGTACTACATGGTACCTCCACGAACTCTCCATCCAAACGTAGCACAAGTCGAGATATGGTATATCATTACCCCATCCCGACTGTCAACAGAAACAGCATATTGCATTATGAACACTCTTCCTGGTTGAATAAACTTGCCACACAACGATATATTGTGCTGAGAGTCGATTTTGAGGTCAGGTATTCAAGTATGTACTTTTGAATCAAAATCACAATTTTACCCAAGTAATCATGCAAAAGACATAAACTGATTATGATTGCATTTGATGAAGTTGCTGCTAGTACGACATGGTAATCGAAGCTTCGAAATAATAGACAAGCTAATAAATCTAGTCCTCAGTTTGTCTCAGATATCATCATAAAAGCATCGGCGTAATTATTAACATGTTAATACTCCGTAAAATGACCCTGAAATGTATACGACAAAACTCGCTGACAACTTCGTCCCATTTATTTGTCATACGTAAACTAAATTTGAAAATTATTGGTGTAGGAACTTTCAGTCTATGATGTCCCTAACCAGAAAAGAACTTGCACTGAGTATTCAAGGGACCTTTGGTCTATGATCTTAAAAAGCCCAACGCAGTTCTGTTGGTTTTCTGTAAACAAAATTCATTATGACATGTATGTAGAAGTTCATTTATGATTCCCTAAAGGATCTCTTCCATATGTGCATATGTGTGTGTGTGTGTAAGTGCAAGTGTACGTGTACGTGTACGTGTATATGTTACAAGAAATATGTAAAATCAGTAAATATGTATAATTTCTGAAAATTTCAGTAATTATATATAATGTCTGATTCACTCAGGAATTAGGCATATTTACTGAAATTTTTAGTAATTATACATAATTCCTGAAAGTTAAGAAACAAAATTATACATATTTCCTGAAATCATTTCAATTACTGAAATACTGATATTACATTGAAAGTCAGTCAGATTTTCATAGATATATCTTCTTATGGTATATAAAATACAGCAGGATCAAAGGCTTAGTGTAGTTCAGTCACAACAAAGAAGGACTTTTCAAGATTTATGAGACGAACAAACGTGTTCTGATACCAATGGAAGAATACTATAAAATCATCAGCGACCTCCCAGAAGCATCCAAGACCTCCAAGAAGACTCCTCATCAGTATTATCTTCTTAAGAAGTATGAAGTTCTCCAGTGTGGTGACATTAACAGACTGATAAGAAGACGTCAGCATGAAGAAGAAACACCCCTGTACTTCATTTCCATAGAAGAGACCTATGAAGTTGTCAAACAGGGTCACGTTGCGACGGGCCATGGGGGACGGGACAAAATGGTTCATGAACTGGCCAAGAACTACGCAGACATAACCATTGAAGCATTGACCCCTTTTCAAGAACTTGTGTGTTGAATGTCAGCGGAAGCGTAAGAGAGCTACAACAAAAGGGACCGTAGTAAAGCCAATCATCTCCAAAGACTCCAGAGCACAAGTCGATCTTATCGACATGCAATCCATAACTCAAGGACAGTTCAAATGGATCATGGCGTATCCAGACCATCTGACTAAGTTTTGTGTATTGCGGCCACTGAGTTCTAAACGCGCAGTAGAAGTGGCGTATCAGCTTCTTGACATCTTCCTCCTCCTAGGTGCCCCATCCGTTCTTCAAAGTGATAATGGATCTGGATTTACTGCCCAGGTTATTTCTGAGCTGAAGATTTTTGGTGATGGTACATGGAAAACCAAGATACCGCCAAAGTGAAGGTTCAGTAGAAAGGGCAAATTGTGACATCAAGGATATGCTTATTGCTTGGATTGGTGATAATGATACAAGTAATTGGATTGTGGGACTAAAGTCAGGAGATCTCCATTTGCGGCGCTGTTAGGGTCTGACGCTCGCACTGGATTGAAATCAACTAGCTTGCCGACTGACATCCTGAAGACTCCTGAAGAGAACAGTCAACTAGATGTCATTTCATCCAACCAAGAAACCATTCAGGTGTTGTGATTGAGTGCAGTGACATCGAAATGTGTACTATGGCAGTGAAAAGTGGTGAGCTCGATAGGAAGTATGCTCGTAACCAATTCGACATGTGTGTTACGAGACTGTACTCTGCAGATGACTTCAACATTGAGAAAACCATTTCCCTTCGGCAAGCTGTTCACCAACACTCTTACTGTAGTGTAGTGGACAAGGTTTCACTAAATGCAACAATGCTGGCTCAAAGTGTTGTCAGATCAATCGCTGCAAGTGTTACAAGGCAACGATTCAATGTAGTTCTAGGTGTCACTGAACACTCCCATGTTCAAATAAAAATTCATGAACACAATCCAATAAAATTCATGAAAATCAATGTGCTGTACCTTGTTCCTAAAATGAAGACATATCTATGAAAACCAGACTGACTTTAAGAGTAATATCAATATTTCAGTCATTCAAATGATTTCAGTAAATATGTATAATGTTGTTTCTTGAACATCAGGAATTATGTATATATGTGTACGTGTATGTGTGTGTCTGTGTGTGTGTTTGTTATTCGAGTCTACTCACACTTCTCTGAACACTTTTGTCTTTCCTTAGGATTAAACACTCTCGCTCTACCAGAATGCAATCAGTTCTCAGATTATCATTACTAGGCCAATTTAGAATTACGTTTTTTAAGCCAATTGCCATTTACATTAAAAAGCTGGCATGCACATATGTACTACCATACAAATGCCCATTTTCGAATTAAAAACACAATTTCGAAATTATGATTTTGTCCATTTTGCAATTACATATATTTGCGTTTACAGCACAGGGAAAAATATCATCTGAATGATCCATATTGGATATTGAGTTAAGGATCAAGTTTAGCATTATCCCTGACTTGTGAGAGAGAACCAGAAACAGAACCCACATGAGTTATAACGAATCAATGCCATACTGGGCTACACCACATTTGTTATGATGTAACCTGAATCAGTATTTAATTAATTAATGTGAAAATAATTATGATCTACTTGAGTACCAGCTGCAACCAATGAACAATTTCTCTGGGGGTGGAAAACATATTTATAGTCATTGTTGCGACAAGTAGCATCACTTCTATCCTTGCTGTAGATTGTGTTGCGACATATTATTAACGAACATGAAGCTGCTTCTCCTGATGGTTCTTGGTATGTATAGTTACACTTGTGTTTACACCAGCACAGTATAATACCGAAACTATAAGAACTGGTACAATGTACATAATTTGCTTGTATCTGTTTATGATCTAGTAGGTCATGGTAGATAAAGAAAAGATGGTTCTGAAAGATTGGGACACTTAAGTGTTATTCCTTGCGATTCAGTTATCTGAATGTAGAAGCCTAAGCATCTATCACAATGATGAAAATATTGGACTTCCTGCTAATCATGGCTAACACGCGGACAGATACTATTGTGTGTTTTGGATGTGATCTTACTGGCTTTGGTGTTACACATATTTTTTGATAGGATATCAGAGTTGAATTTCACTTTAGGCGTACTTTGTTCTTTTTGCAGCCACACTGTTGACTGAAGAATGTGTTGTTGCAGAACGGCAACAAATCAAGCTGGTCCCAACTAGTAAGTCGAAGTCAAATGTTGATTGTGTTAGGTGTCGATTCTGAAGTTATCCAATAGTGAACCCAATAAGTTAACCCAGAATCTGGAAATACGGTAATTCCATGTAAAACCGACAAAAAAAAAGTTCTGTACAATCAGCGATTACATAAACATTAGGAGTGAGTGAGTTAATATTTAACGTCACATTGGCAATATCTCAGCCATATAGTGACGAAAACAATTTATACAATAAAAAGTGAAATCATTTGGAAGATTAAAACATGTCGACGATGGACAGTAAAAATACTAGAGAATCACATAAACATTATGAAGAATAAAAAGCACGACATCTCATTACAAAGGAATTACAATATCAGCTCAAAACAGAGTAGTTGTTCAAGTTCAAGGGCAAGGCAAATACAATATTGCTGACAGCAATGAAAGACAAGATATTAATCAACCGCGCGGCTACAGCTGTCAAGTTCATGTTTTGTATTGTCCTGCTATTATGAGTTCAGGTACAAAGAAATAGAGAGAGTCAATTTGCACTAAAAAACATGCTTTGGAACCTGATCTGAGTACCGGAATTCGGAATAGAGAGATGTCGGAAGAGGGGGACAGTTTCTAATATGATATTACATAGGGACAACTTCGGGACCAAATATATCTGTCAGTTTACAGGGATTGAGAACCACTTTTAATCACTATTATTATGATTAATCTGTCTAATGCATGTCAAAACTGAATTGACTTTTAAAATATATTGTGAAGAATAATGTTCAGTTAAAGTATTTGATATATATGTTGAATATTTTGTATATTTATTTAATCTGTTATATTCTACATTTTATGGTCATGGTGTCATTTGGCATTGGAATTTACTTCATATAATGTGATTGTTATGGTGGAATGATAAGTCACCATGAAAGGGGCTTTTCCAATTGTCTAACAAATTACATCATTCTTCTATTTTCCTTTTTCAAAACAGGGTATGCAAGAGCACGGTTCACAAGATCAATTACAAATTATCGTCGTCGGTTTGGTTTCGCCGGCGGTCTGAGAAGGCGAAGTGTGTCAAGTTCTGGCACTGAAAGATGAGATGGAGAGGAACGCGTTCACTAAGATCCCAATGTGCATCAGAACGAAATGAGCAATAAATCAATTTTGTTCTGCAACACTAGTTCTGATACATGTTTTACTTGTCGGTGTCTTCAGTTGTCTTCAATTCTGTAGGTAAAGGAATCTCTGTGAAACCAATGAGGACAAAGAAATGTTATATCATCAACAATTGCATTATAATATAAACTAGATTTACATATCAATCCGAACTGCTACAGATTAATAACAAAAGCATGACAAGAAGCGTCAGTACAAATCAAATGAGAGTACAAAGACCGTGTGACACGCTGTCGCATTAACATTTATTTATTTGTGCTGTGAAAATGATTGTAATAGTTTTTGTTCTGCTTCCACAGACTCATCATTTACTAAGAGCTTTTATTCTGTAATGGATGATAACTCCTTGTATATTGCATAGAAAGACGTTTTGGTGTCGATTCTTACACCGGTATGAAGCTATCCATCAAGTTGTGTTCTTCATTATTGACTCACTGCTAGAATGGCGATAAAACAATGTCTGCTGTAGGCGGTAAAACCCTGAAGTGATGAAGCCGCACATTTAACAGCTGGTTTATATACACGCATCTCTATTTTTAAGTCTTTGATTCAGGTGGACTGTGGTACCTGAAGTATACAATTATTTGAAAAAGTGAATAATTCTCGCAACTCATTGGAGTCAAATATGGCCCAAAACAGTTGATTTTGTTTAACACTAGAAATGCCTACCGTATACCACATAACAGATTACACATTGAAATAGTGACATTAGATACTGTAGAGGTTTGGTAATCGGAACAAATAATGGAATTTGCAGAAATGGAAGTTAATGTTGGGATGTTTGCCCAAATAACCTAGTGCAAAGGAGTGGCTATTCCACATATTGACAATAATTTTGAAACCGCTTTTGAGTCAGTGAGTGAGTTAATATATATCGTCCCATCGGCAATATTTCAGCCATATCGTGACGAGAACAATTAATAATTATATTATTGATCAATAAAATTAGAAATAACAGTGTTGACGAAGAACAGTAAAACTACTAGTTTATCACAAATATAAATTTAAAACCAGTAATTAAATCTAAAACATGTTAACTATAAATGACAAGTGTAAAAACAGGGTATATCTTGCCAACAACTGAAGTTAGATCACCATACCAGGGACCATGGGGACTTACAGTACATTTGCTTCCTACATGGACCCTAGCTGGATTTATACCATCCCTTCAGCCATTAGCAACTAAGACAGATCTAGCCATACATTTAAGAGTACACATATTCTACGATTAAAAATAGTGGAGAGTTCTAATTTACTTTGAATGCTTGTGGACTTACGTACCCTCTCGGGGGGACAATAATTTTACAGTACTTAAACCCTTTTTTGAGGATACAGCCACTAAAAATCTGGGTTACTAATTTAAACTCCCAATCATAAAATAATATTCTATTTACAAATAAGTTAACAAATCTAATTCTTTCAAAAATGCAATAATTAACTGAGAACTGATATTATTAAAATGATCCTTCGTAGTTCGTGATTTGAAATAGTTATCACTTTTGATGGAATATTCAACACAGTCAAGCAAGACAGCTTGACCGTGATTCTTTCATCACAAGGGATGTAAAACGGAGGATCCTCATCTAGGATCCTCAGTAGGTATTCATGAGTATATCTTGTGTGGCCAATACGACATCGTCGTATGATGACTTCTTCAAATCTGGACTGACAACCCAAGTAGGTATAACCAAAATATAAGGTTTTATTGCATGTAATTTATTGATACCTACTTGGGTGTCCCACTTCTTCTGCATTAGATCACGGATATAAGATTTGATGACAGCTTTATAATCAGAGTATGGAATAAGAAGTGGTGTCACAGATTTGTTGAGTGCTGCCTTAGTAGCAAGATCGGCCTTTGTGTTCCCAGAAATACCAACGTGGCTGGGTAACCAACAGAGGATGATGTCGTATTGGCCAGTAGCAAGATCATTACATAATTCTATAATTTGAATTAAAAGTGGATGTTTGCAAGAAAGATTTTTATAGCCTGAAGGCACGAATAGTTTATATATTGTTTATTTTTAGGGTGTTCTTGAATATATTTTAAATCTGTTAATATGGCATTTGCTTCTGCTGTGAAAATAGAACCGTTATCTGGTAGTCGAGAAGATATTGCTCTGGATCCAATGACAGTGGCACAACAAACAGCGCCACCATCCTTGGACCCATGTGTAAATAATGATTTGTATGTATTATATTTAGTTTTTAATTAGTTATATTCGTGTTAATATTGTAATTCATTAGTTTCTGATTTTTTAAATGTTGTCAGTGTTAGGTCAACTTGTGGCCTCACTAATTGCCAAGGAGGAGGAGAAAGAAGACGGGAAGGAGCTATATTTTGTAGCTCAATGCCAGTAGCAGAAAGGAAAGGTTTGACTCTTAGTCCCAGAGGCGGAGCAAGAGAAGACTTTTTGTTGTACAGATCCTCGTAAAGAGGGTTGAAAACACAGTTGAATGCAGGGTTAGACTCGTTAGAATATAGTTGGGTAATATATTGTAAAGATAATTTGATATGGCGTTGTGTAAGAGACGGCTCATCGACCTCGACGTAGAGAATGTCAACAGGAGAAGTTCTGAATGACCGAATACAAAGTCTCAGACCTTGGTGGTGGACAGAATCTAATAGTTTAAGGTTGCTTTTGCAGGCTCCACCATAAACGATGGAGCTATAATCAAGTTTGTAACGGACCAGTGATCGATACAGGTGTAGGAGAGCAGTTTGATCCCTTCCCCACTTAGAATTGGAAACGACTTTTAATAAGTCAAGTGCCTTCAGACATTTAGCTTTAAGGGATTTAACATATGGCAGAAACGTTAAATGGGAGTCAAAAATTAGACCCAAGAACTTCGCCTCCTTGACGACTTTGATGGGAGTGCCATTTAATAAATAGTTTATGAGGTGGGTACGTACGGCAGATATGTATACAATAAGTTTTTGATTTAGAAAATTTAAAGCCGTTTTCAAGACACCATATGCATTTATTTATTTTGTTTAAACACAATTGCAGTTGCCGTTCAATAGTATGCATATTTTTACCACGACAAGAAATATTAAAATGATCCACAAAAAGTGATCCATCAATTGAATCATTTAACACCTTGGATAAACTGTTGATCTTGATGCTAAACAAAGTGACAGACAAAATACTGCCTTGTGCTACACCCTGATCCTGATTGTAATGATCAGACAGGGTTGAACCAACTCGGACTTGAAATTGTCTGTCATTTAAAGAGTTGGATATAAATTGAGGCAAACGGCCTCGTAATCCAAAGTCATGTAAGTCTTTTAAAATACCATGTTTCCATGGGTGACCGGACAAAATCCACCCGGACAAAATCCACCCCAAAATTGCCACCCCGGACAAAATCCACCTCTTCTTAACAAAAAAATGGACAAAATCCACCCTTCTCAAATTGCTATTGTTAAAAGTTTTAGTGTGTCCTGATCTTTGATCAAGTTGTTTTTCTCAAGCATTGCAAGCATTGTTTTGATAGCATTTTCCTAATTGGCTGTTGTTCCTAGATGTTGTTTCAAACATTAAAGGTTTCTCCATTTGTCACATTTTGATCACTACTTAATCCTCTTTCATGTATCATTAAGTAGTCTCACACTTTGATCAGAAATGAAGCAGAAGGCCAGTACATCCCGAGAGACACCAAACCAGGTTCTTCTAGACTCCGCTACTTCCCATCCAGCAGAAGTTAGAGCGTTGTTGAAATGCGTTGTTGAAATGTGGCAAGATGTTAAGTCATAGATATGTCTGAATGTGTGAAAATATATGCTGTTCTCATATTTATATATGTATTGATGCATGAATAATTCATAAATGTGAAATGTGAAAATGTGATCTTGTCATATTTATAAATGCAAAAATGTGCTTACATATATATTTTGGTTGTGTTTGTTATCGATTATGAATGACTGATATGAATATAATTCATTTCTGTGACTAAACATGTCATTAGTTTTTTTTTCATAGGGTGGATTTTGTCCGGGGGTTTTTTTCCGGGTGGATTTTGTCCTAGGTTGCAATTTTGGGGTGGATTTTGTCCGGGTGGATTTTGTCCGGGTGGTTTTTGCAGATTCGTTTCCATGTGGTGTCATATGCTTTTTCTAGATCGAAAAAGATCGACACTGCATGTTGTTTAATAATTATGGCATTCTTAACAAAAGATTCCAAACGCACTAAATGATCGATGGTACTTCTGTTTTTGCGGATACCACATTATATATCTGATATTAGGTTATTGGTTTCCAAGTACCAAACAAGTGGATTATTTATCATGCGTTCCATGGTCTTGCAAACGCAGCTAGTAAGTGAAATTGGCCTATAATTGGAAGGATCAGTATGATCACGTCGAGGTTTAGGGATGGGAACAATTATAGCATCACGCCACGACGAAGGAAAGTTTCCAGATGTCCAAATGTCATAAAAAAATATGTAAGAGCGTCTCAAAAGATGATTCTGGTAAGTGCTTCAGGAGTTGATAATGTATGTTATCAGCTCCTGATGCAATATCATGAGCCTGATCTAGAGACGTATGAAGCTCATGCATCGAAAAGGTTTCATTGTAGTCTTCCCTAATATCTGATTTGAAATTAATAGCTTTCTTTTCTTGCTGTTTTTGATATTTTTGGAATTCAGGTACATAATTAGATGAGGAAGAATGTTTGGCCATCCTTGATGGCGACAAGCTATGAGTCCTACCATGGCTTTTCTCGGACACATCCATGTCATCAAGGGATCAAAACTTATTAAAAATGTGGATGTGGTTATTCGCCCCTTTTGGGGTTCTTTCACTGTGCCTGATAATGATGTAAGAATATACACGGGAACGCCCCTCTATACGTCAACAGTAAATTGGTATATGTAAAGTCGTACTTCAAGAATGCCGACCAAACAAGCATTGGGTTACAATTGGCGTCTTGTTCTCAATACAGGTTTTAGTATTTTCTTAACATATAATTTCCTTAATGTCGGGTGTCACAACAGTGACAGACACATTTCATATTGATACATACAGAGATAAATGTGCAGACGTCGTTTCAAGCCTTTTGAGACCCTCAGTAAATAGCAGGTGACTCCAGATTTGAACATTTTTCCTAAACTATTGTGATAATAAGTGGTTATAAATCCTGGGCATTAGAGATCACGTCGACTTGCTTATTAGGGATTTAATGCTTTTGTTAGACTGGAATCGTTCATATGTATCTTTATGGAAACATCTATGGTGTGGGCTTGTGTACTGGTTTCTCTAGAAATGATTTAACGTGATCTAAAATGATGATGACTTAAAGAATTCTGTCACTTACTTCTTGTAAATGATCAAATTAATCTAGTCACCCTATGATTTATTAAACAGGGAATTTATGTATTAATTGCCTCAATCCGCCCGTGTTTGGACAACACAACCAATTGCCTGTTGACAAGTTCATGAAGTTTTCGTGAATACACCAACTGCATGACAAACTGAAAAGGAATGGCCCTTGTGGCAGGTGTTAATTAGAGAATGTATTCTACTACTACAATAGGCATATTATGCCCTGGCAGGGTTCACTTTTATGACATATAATAAACCCTCAGTGTGTCTGGTAAACTTTTTAATCATGTAAAGTGGGCGTATGTAATTTGTATTCATACGGACAGTGACAGGGGAAAAAAGAAAACATATTTGCGCTTTTGTGGATAATGTTCAACTGAAACATACACTTAAAACCGTATTTTTTTTTGAAAATGCTAGCAATACTTGCGGTAAATATAACAGTCAATATCAATGTTTGACTCATAGAACAAGAAGGATGCAGATGAGTGAAGTTATATTGATATATAGAATTTGTTCCTGGTCGACTGCCGAGGATGGCGAATAGAAATACTTTAAACATGATCCCAACTTTTAAAAATGTATCTCTTCACGCGTCAGATGCAGTAATATAAAAATACAGCTTGTCCCTGCAGTTCGCATGTAAAAATATGTCACATGCAAGATGCATTAAGTATATCTAATCGCTTTCCTCTGGATGTGAAAGGAGTGCTGTGACTTATATTCACCACTTTATTTCTTGTAAATTACTTTTGTTGAAGATGGTATCTCCTCACGGAATAATACAGGCGTGTTGAGTGAGTTAATGACAAGAGCTTTCATCATTGTTTGTCGACTCCGGCAACAGCCCTCAGTTAGTATCAAATTCCTCTGATTTTCAGTCCGTAAATGAATTTGGTATTTGCGTGGTGTAATGAGATATGAAGAAGGCAGAAGAAAACCTCTTACATATTGCGTAGCCGTTCGGGATCTCTCCATCCATAATAATTTTGGTAAGACTATGCTGGGATGGTCTATGCTGGGATGGTCGATTGTAGTACTACGTGGTACCTCCAAAGATCTACATGCAGCACAAGTCTAGATATGGCACAGCACTAACCCCTCCTAACTGTCAATAGAAACACCATACTAAACTATAAACACTCTTCCTGGTTGCATAAACTTGTTACATAACAATATATCATGCAGAGGGTCGTATTTGACGTCAGATATTCAGTTATATACTTTTGAGTCACAATTCAAATTTTAGCTCTAATAATCATACAAAAGACATAAACCTATTATGAATGCATTTTGTTAAATTGCTGCTCGTACGACTTGGTAATCGAAGCTTCGAAATATTAGACAAGCCAATAAACCTCCCCATATGTTTTCCTAGATATCAGCATAAAAGCATTAATCTTTTTTTATTAGCACGTTTATGCTCTATAAAATAACTGAAATGAATACGATAAAAACACGATTTAACCTTCACCTGTCATTCATTGTAAGCATAAGCTAAAATACTTCACATTTGCATTACGGAAATGTCATGTGTATTTCAGCAGAAATTTCGAGTATATATATATTTAGTCTTTTGTACAGTTTGCAATAATGGATGTTCGCGTTTGAAAGAGTCGGCAAAAATGAATGATTTATATTGAGCTGTTGAGGACCAGGTTTAGCAATATCCCCAACCTAAAACAGCGAACACGACATGTGCTTGACGTGAGCAATGGCGAATCAATGCTTTTCCTAATGAGCTACCACACTAAAACTCCCAAATGATTAATTTTATGGTGAAAGCTGAATCGGTATGTAATTATGGCAAACAGTAAAACAATCCCTCTGAAAACCAATATACAATTTCTCGGTGGGTGGAAAACATATTTAAAGCCATGGTAGAGACCAGGAGCAACATTTCCACCCTTGCTGTAGATTTTGTTGCGGCATCTCATCAACGAACATGAAGCTGTTTCTCCTGATTGTTCTTGGTATGTATACTTACACTTGTGTTCACAGTAGTACAGTGTAATGCCGAGAGTATTGGTAGCAGTAAAATGTGCATGCATTTGATTTGGGTTGTTTGGCTTCTGCACGCACAGTTGATGAAAGTAACATGGTTCTTTGGACTGAGTCTTAGTTTCGGTTCAAAGTCAAATCTACAGTGCGCAGAGACCACATTACTCATGATACTGCTGAAAATACCCTACAGAAAGCATTCTCTGTTCCGCGCTAACATAGTGAGATACCATGCCGCGGCGCTACACAGATAGTGAGTGAGTTAATATTTAACATCACATCGGCAATATCTCAGCCATATCGTGACGACGCTACACAGATAGCCTACTCAGACACATTATACCGACTCCAAAGCATCCAGTCTCTAGTACATCACCTAAATGCCGAGCACCAGGCGGGAGAACACCACGCACAATCTTATGGTATACACTTCACATGTTTCGGCCTGGCCAGAGATGTAAAAGACTGCTACTTCATTTGAGCTTCATCCTCTATTTGTTGCTTAACATACCTAAATTGATAACCTCAATATGAGAAGACATTGGTGACTTTTATCTTTTGTTGCCTAACATTGATTCATTTAAAGAAACATGTAGATCCGAAGATCCATATACGTACATGTGTATATGTGTTATTCTATGCGATTAAACTATCTGCATGTAGAAGCCCGAGCATCTCTATCAACTGTAAGTAATTTGACTTCCTGATAATTATGGCTATTACTCGGACAGGCAATACTGTGTTTTTGGATGTGATCTTAAAGGTCACATGCAACCAAAAAATCAAACATAATTAAAACACAATTATCACTTATTCATGACATATAATATACATTGCTGGTTATGAAAAAACATATCAACAAAATTGCAACCGTACAATCGCAAATCAAAAGTGCAATATTTTGTACTTGGGTTTACTTCCCAAGAAACGAAGCAGCCGGAATACCGAACCCAGTCAGAGCGGGTGGATGTGCACTCAAGTGTAACGGCTGGTTCATTTGCAGAAGCGCTCACGGCTCATTGTGTGTGTATATGTAGAGATGTTGGGTTTTGTAAATACATGCTCATTTTTTGTTTATAACATTTTGTAATCAACAGACATCATAACATGTCATGTGTACAAGTATCACACCTGCCTGTCTGTGTGATTACATAATGTGACAGAGACCTAACTCGGGCCATAAATCAATGCGTTTGTTTATGGTGTATAGCCTGATAGGTGTTAAGTTCAAATTGCATGTGGTCAGTGATCGAAGTTGTGTATTGTATATTGTCATTAGCAGACGGGCAGGCAGACACATCGGTGTCAATAAAACAGACATTAAGTTTTGTCTGTGACAACGACATATCTATATCACAATTAGAAATTCTGTCAACGCTAAATAATGACATTGCTTTTAAGTATTGAACTGAGAAAGTGACTCGGTAAGAAGAACGTGTGGTGAAATAGACAAATGAAATTATATAAACAGTTAAATCGGTAATCTACTGTAATAACACATAAAAAGCTCGCGCCGGCGAAATATCAACAAAACATTAGAAAATAGCTCACACCAAAGCCTTCACCGAGTATTCACCGGACAACCCGCTTCCAAGCTCCGCGAACTTATTTCACTGCGCATGTGCTATGAGCGCAGCCCAGCTGTTGAAACCACTTGAATTCCCCCAAGCGCTGGGGGAAAATTAGTGAATCGTTTGAACTACGATTTCGCGCGGTTTTTTTCATCGCGTTATTTTTCATCTTTATAATTGAATTTGCATTTTTGATGATTTGTTTCGGTACGTCCATACAGAATCTGCGAGTTGTGTTTTACGTTGCATGTGACCTTTAAAGGTTATAGTGTAACACGGATGCTTAGATAAGATATCAGAATTGAATTCCGTTTCGCTTATATGCTGAATTTCTTCTTTTTCAGTCACTCTGTTGACTACAGAATGTGTCGTTGCAAACTTGGGAAATATGAATCTGGCCCCTACCGGTAAGTCGAAGGCAAATGTTGATGGTGTAACGTGTCGATTCCCATGTTAAACTTTTAGGTTAACCCAAACTCTGGATGTAAGGGAATTCGGTGTGATATCGACAAAGAAAGGGATTTTATACAATCAGCAATCACACAAGGAACATAAGGAACTTTACAAAGCACGACATCTCACTACAAATTAATTACGATAGCAGCCCAAAATAGAATAGCAGTACAAGTTCAGAGACAGTACAAATACAATATTGCTGACATCAATGGAAGACAGCGATTACCTTTGCGGCTACAGTTGTCAAGTTCATGATTTGTATTTACTTGCCATAATGACTTCAGGTGCAAAGAAATACTTTCCCGATAGTCACAATAGTCGCAGTGACATGCTTTTTCATAGTTTACTTTTCCTACCAAATCCAAATTCTGTACATTCAGCCACTATTGCATCCATACATGTGTTTTGAATCTGACATCATTTACCAATGTATATCGAGATTGAATTTAGCTTTAAAATAAACTGTGAATATGTTAAGTGTTTGACATATATGTTAAATATGTTGTATCATTGTAGTCATGGTGTCATTTTGTATTGGAATATACTTCATATATTTTAATTGTCATAGTGGAATATTGTTTCTGATCACACATGATAAGTAATTATGAAAGTGACTTTTTCCCTTTCCAATTGTCTAACAAATTACACCTTGCTTCTATTTTCTGTTTGACACAGTGTATGCAACAGCATCAGTAACAGATTCTCATAAGTTTGGTTTCGCAAGCGGTCTGAGGAGGCGAAGTGTATCAAGTTCTGGCACTGAATGATGAGATGGTGAGGAACGCGCAATGTGCATCAAAACCAAAAATGCGCAATAAATCATTCTTGTTCTGCTATACTAGTTCTGATACATATTTTACTTATCAGTAGTGAATAATTCAATTGCATGCTTGAAAATTCACGCTGGACTGGTTAAGGTAACAACAACATTGGTTCCACTTTGTGGTTTCATTTCAAAGTAAAACACATATTTAAAATACGTGTTAATGCAGTTAACGCTGAACTGGTTACAGTAATAAAAATACTGGTTCGACTTTATGTTTTCATTTCTAAGTAAAACACATAATTCAATCGCTGAACTGGTTATAAATCGCAACATATGTTGTGTTTACACATAACATTTATCATTAAACGTTGAGTTTGTGTTTTCATTTTATCTGGGAGTTTTGAATTATTCAATTGCGTGTTTCATTGCAACTATAAATTAAACGTTGAGGTTGCGTAATTAATAAAAATGTTGTCAATCAATGTTCGCTTGAATATTATTTACGTAAATCTATTCCAAATACTAGTATTTATCAAACTTCCGACTCAGCTGACATAACTTTGCGATAGAAACTGGCAGATACGAAAACATTGCTGATCGTAAATGTTTAATGTGTAAAGATGACATTGAAGATGAATTAAATTTAATATCAAAATGCCCATCGTATGTTAATTATTGAATAATGTATATTAAAGCATATTATTATAAATCAGTGTTTAAGCTTATTCAACTTCTTAGTATCCCAATTGCGTAGAACGATGTTCATGCTGTTGATCACTGGATTGTCTGGTCCAGACTCGAGTATTTACAGACAGCCACCATATATCTAGAATATTGCTGAGTGCGGCGTAGAACTGAACTCACTCACTCACCTTTAGTATTAACAATATTAGAATATTATGTAATTTAGGTAAATATTTATATAAGGCTAGTATATTAAGAAAAGGGTTAATTAGTACGCAGTAATTGCACATCCTCCTTTATTATTCCATTGTCACCATATTTAAGTAAAACACTTGATACATAAGGGTACTACCACCAAACCGTGTTAGTATTAATTTATATTTCGATGGGTGCAAGATTTGTGTTGGAAGCAAGAAGGGAGAGAAAATCTACTGGAGGTGTTCAAAAGATTAATGCAAGTCCAACTTAATCGCCGTCAAAAGTGTAGCTAAGACATGGGGGCGTATTTATCAAACAACTAAGTTTTGACTTAAGAAAAAACTTAAGTTTCTACAAATAGCCTTGGCCAAGTCAAAAGTTGGTATTCACAAAGGGGCTTAGTCTGAAACTTAGATAAGTCCGCCGGCAAAAACTAAGTCGATTTCGCCGAACGCAATCACGTGGTCGCTAGGGACTATCCAGGTTATTTTTAGCCTACCAGTGGAATTATTTTTTACTGAGAGACAGAAAAACATCATCGGGGGAAATTCCCGGACAGCGCAGACGATACACGAACAGCATCGAATAGATACCATGGCGGACGAAACGAAAAAGGGGCGGCCTAATTTTACGAAAGAAGAGTCTCTGTTGCTAGCTGAGCTAGTTGCAGCCAACAGAGTGGTGCTTGAGGGCAGGTTGGGGCCTGGCATCACCTGCATGAAGCGACAGGAGGCGTGGCAGGTACGTGTTTTAGTTTTGCGGTAGTGATATGAGTGTTCTAACAAATTCCCTTGACTTTACCTGGCTGGTAAAATTATATTTACATACACATGTCGTGGTCATCTGTTGTGTTTTAGTTTGGTACTAATTCCTATACGTAATTTTACTGGCAATTGTGGCATACTAAAATTATCAGGAAAGAATGAAATATTTTGGAAATGGATACCCATCTTCTTTTTTTCAGTTATTGTGTAAATATGAGCATACATGCACTTGATAACTAGTTCACATGTAAAAGGTCAAATTTTTATACACTGATAAATATCTTAATGTAATTTTGAAGGGAATTTTCCCCATTTGATTTATTCTGTTTACATTGTAGATGATTACAGACACCCTCAATTGAAGTCTGACCCTCAAGAGGACCAGGGATGAGTTGGGAAAAAATTGGAAGAACTTAAAGAGTTCATCCAAGGAGACTTATTCCAAGTTCAGGCAGCAAACAATTGCCACTGGTAAACATGATTATGGTTACAGTATTATTATTATTGGTTATCAAAATATAAGTATCATAAAAGGTTACATAAATGATGTGATAAATGTCAGAAAGTGGAAAAAATTAGTTTCACACACAATATTTTCAGACCTACATTGTAAGTTCTTGTATATACTGTATATTTTCTAGCAACATAAACCTATGATTACACAATGCCATTGAGAAAGTTGTCAAATGTAACATATGTTATATTTGGGATTACACTTTCTTAGTAAAGTGGATTCTAGTACTTTAGTTGGGTTGAGTTCCATCCGAGACTCGAACCCACGCCCTAAGAGTCAGGCACCCAAACGCCAGCTGAGCGGGTCAGGCGGCTGACTTTGTGTGCTGGCGATTAGGTGCCTCACTCTGAGGGTTTTGGTTCGAATCCCGGATGGGACACTGAAACCCAACAAAAGTACTTGAATCTGTACTTTACTAAGAAAGTGTAATCCCAAACATAACATATGTTACAACATAAACCTACTCTATTCCAGTGTTTCAGGATAAAGTGAGTACTTACCTCCTGGGTTTGTGATATGTTTCTACATAAAATAATCATATTGAAGCAATTAATCTATGTTTTATTTTTGCATTTACAGGAGGCGGACCTCCAACTCCAGTCAGTCCAGTAACAGATGCTGTTGTTGAGGCCATTGGGAGGGACAACTTAAGTCTTACAGGTATCTCTGACTCATATGATTCCACTGCCCTTCAACTGCTTGATGACATCACTTCAAGAGAAAGGTACATGCGATATACATTTTAATGTTAATCTGTTCTATACAGCACTAAAAAGACTGCAATATTTTTTCTCAGAATGACCTCACATTTAATATAAGTCCCCGTGGTCCCTAGTATGGTGATCTACCTTCAGTTATTGGCAATATATAGCCTGTTTTTACCTTGTATTGTCATCTATAGTTAAACTGTTTTAGATTAAATTACTAGTTTTAAATTCGAATCTGTGATAATCTGGTTATTTTACTGTCCTTCGTTGATAGGTTTTTACAATTTGCCATTAATTACTATGTATAAAATTAATTCTTCTCGTCACGATATGGTTGAAATATTGCCGATGTGACGATAAATTTTAACTCACTCACTCATTCACTCACCTCACATTTAATAAATCAAATACTGACTTTCCACATTAAATGTAGCTTGTGTGAGGTCAATCAGTACACTGATCACAGGTAAGAATTAGGCCCCAATTAGTAAGGTTCAGCTATCTGAAAATACTGAACTTACTCAGGCCTCCACTTTTGTTAAGCAAACAACACTGAACATGTGTCACTTAGTACTTCATCTTGCCCTGCATGAATTACATGATGTCCTAAAGTTTTGGGGAAATTGTAATTTGTGATTAAAATTCATTCTTTCCCAATCTGCCTGTCAGGGTCACTTGGTTTGAAATGACTGCCATGACTCTGTATGAACATAAAACAAAAGGCTCAGGGTATGGAAATTATATATACATGTATTTCATTCTGTTACATATTCTACAAATCATGCTTCGTCCGTTGTAGCCCAATCATGGTCAGCGACGAGGTCCAGGACATGGTAAATGCATACCACCTGCCAGACAGCCTGCCAGTGCCAGCGTCAGCCTTCTGTGCAGGCATTACAGAAAGAAAAACTGGAATTAGAGATTGAATGTTTGAAATTGAAAAGAGAGTATCTTACAAAAAGAATTAATAAACAAGAAGAATTGATTTACAGGCAACAGTATAGGGTGATCTGAATTAACACTGCAATTATGAGATGTCTTGCACTTAGGAAAATGAAATTAATAATCAATTCAATTTCTCAGTCTACAATGATACCATGACTTTAGAAATACGTACATTAAAAGAAGCTGATCGCAAACTGCTCCCTATATCTGGTTCCTGTTGCTGTGGGAGCAATAGCTGGCAGACCTTGAATCTGTGCCCTCAGCTGTCCAGGTTGACTGTTGCTTCCACTTGGAGCTGGCATTGGGACAATCCTGTCCTTGCTGATGTTGTGCAGCACTGCACAGGCAATTATTACCTTGGTAAAAAAACATGATGTATACTGGTCAATAAATTTCTGTCAATTTAATTATAAAGTATGATGTAGAGGGCGTATTTTGACATGTATTTTTAGTTTTGATACTCTATTTGAACAGATGTTCATTTCTCATCAAATAACAGTATTATGTAATGTTAGTGAGAAAATCTTCCATGGACCTTATTTTAGTTTAATACCTAACCACTGGTATTCATCAATTAATGAGGCCTTTATCTAAGAAAGGTTATTTTTCTACACTTATATTTCTGGCATCATTATCTTTCCACGAATGTGCACATCTAATACTTTGTTGGTAAAATCCCTACCCTTACTAATCTGACTCTAAGAGTATTTGATACTGGCAATCTCTATACTTTAATTTAGTAGCTGTACAGAAAATGCCACTATTCAGATATTTGAATACATATATTTTTTTAATTTCACTAAACATTTCATGTAAATGTTCCTCTCTAAGGTTCGTAAACCTAGGGTCACAGTACAAGTATACTCATATTTGCTGTCTAAACTTCATAAAGATGATTCTTCTTAAATATGATTTTTGAGATAACTAATTTATTTTATAGTTGAACTTTAGATAACAATAACTATCTGTCAATATTGACTGAGGTCCTATTGACAGTAAGATCACATATTTCTGACTTGTCCATCTTGTTTATGTTAGGACTGACTGAAAAAGTGTAGACATTTTTACATTTATGTTTGAGAAATGTTAATATCTTCATTAAATAAAAGGAATTGTTAATCTTATTTATTGTTTTGGTTTCTTTATGTACCTGATGCATATTTACTCCTGGGGGAATTATTGGGAAACATGTATGTGTATTTAAATTTTATAAAAATTATGATTTTTGTTACTTCAAAGAAGTCACAGAAAACATTTTTGTAATGCAATACCTTGCAAGCCTTCTGTGGGGAAAGTCTGATTTCCCCATGTAGTACATACTGTACATGAAACCGCCGCTTCAGTTGCCCAATCCCTTTTTCCACACAGTTTCTAGTTTTCTTATTGGATCTGAAAATTTGCAATAATAAATACAACTGGAATCACTGGATCATCATATAAAAAACATGGGCGGTATGACATCAAAATGGAGATATGATGATGCACATAATTTGTCCACACGTATTGTTTGATAAGTCACCTAAGATGCATTTACGACAAAAGAAGTAGACAGTGTACGACACGTTACCCGAGTTATGCATTTAGCAAAGATATGTAACTCTTCCATTTCGTTTTTATGTTGGAGATTGTATTTCACATAGCCAAGGGAAATCACTCTTGTGGTTAGTACTCGAAGCTGACTCGAAGAAATAATAATATAATACCTGTTGTACTTTGTCTGTGGTCAAGGGTGGGGACGCAAAAATGGTGTTACAATCCACCTCCGACATGGGTAGCCGCTGTCGCCAAGCAGATGACAACTTACGGGTAACTGGTTCCCCTCAAACATCCGACATAACCCGCTTGTTGTCAAGATACGGGAGTCGTGTGTTGAACCAGGCCAACGTGCTACCATGATCCGGTCGTCGCTGTCAATCACTATCTGTGTATTAATACTGTGGTAGTGATGCTTGTTAATGAATTCATTCTCATTAACCGATGGGGCCTGAATTTGAATGTGAGTGCCATCAATTACACCTACTACACCTGGTGTGATAAAGTTGACGCTGTGATAAAATCGACGCGTGGGAAGCGTCGTCTTATTACGGACCATGCGTTGACGTGGGAAAGGTGGCAAAACTTACGGAGTACTATGCGTTGACTTCTACTGAGCGATTCGTAGCGTTTGTAGGATGACTCTTCGAGCGTTTGTACGTGGGTTGGGTGGTGGGTTAGCTAAGTAGCATCTGAAATGTGCCTGTTGCAAAGGTACCTCAAAGTGACGAGCACTTTGGTAACACAGGACACGGCACAACTCCGATGTGTTACGGGACTTACTTGTAGTTCGTGTTCGAGTGAATCACAAATGTAAACAATACTGTTTCTGTCAAATCTGTACCTTTGTAACAGTTCATTAACATCTAATGTATGCAGAACGTCTCTTCTTTCATTAAATACTCTTGGAATACGTGTGGCAGCCATTTTGTTTCACATGACTTAAGTCAAAACGAGTATTAATAGTTAAGTAAAAAAATGACAAAACTTAAGTCTAAGTCTGTTTATAAATATGACTTAAGTTTTACCACAAAACTGAAGTCGAAAAAACTAAGTTTTTTAACAGACTTCAGTTTTTTAATGACTTAAGTTGTTTGATAAATACGGCCCATGATCAAGAAGACAGAACACCAAAATGGAGAAAACGTGGTGCAGTTCTAGCAACCGAATTGTGTGTGATTTTTCACAATCAGGAATGATTTAGCTTTGATTTTAGGCCGGTTGACATCAATTACCAGTGCGTGATTACCGCACAGGGGCCCTTTTAAGGTGCAACATTTCATTTCAGTTGCAGTAATAGTTTAACCGATAACTGGATCGTTTAATTCAATAACTTTGATTTGGAATGACCGATTGTCATAAAATAAGAAGTTATGGAATGCATAGATAATGATTTATAACTGTGGACAATAATAATTATATATGTAGTTGCAAAATATTTTGATAAGGTCAACGATCTACTATCAGTACTCTACAAATATAATTTACATGTACATATAGAAAAATATATTAAAGAAGGTGTATTCCCTCCAAAGTACGAACGGCGAAAAATTGTAAATACATCTGTACATAGCTATGAAGAACACAGATGGGTTATGCAAACCTCAATTAATACAAACATGACGCTTTATGCACGGGACAATTGCAAGTTAAACTATCATATCCTCTGGCAATTGGCATACTTACATCCCAAATATAAATCTGCCCTCCAAATATGTATTAAAATCTCATCACGTGGCAAAATATCTAAAGAATGTAACCTGTGTGAAAAATATACTTATCATTATGATTTTCATATACTCCTACATTATGAACAACTTCACACTGAGAGAAACGATTTTGTTTGTTTATGATTGACATTCTTGATGTGGAAACCCATGTTGCCTTTGAATCACAGGATGAACTCGATATGCTCTCTTTTCCATTTAAAGGTGAAAGTGTTTCTTTATACGTTTACCGAATAAGACGACATCTCCTACAATGTTACACTGATTGATCTCTGCAGATTTATAATGATGTATGTCCACTTTCGGAAGTTTCTTGTATAAATTAATTGTATACACATGTAGATGTATGTTCTTATGTAAATTGTAGGTTTAGGTAATCATCTTGATTAAAATAATTGCATATACATCTATATCAATTTGGTAACTTTGCCCCCTCTCTTGTATTTACATGTATATAATAAGTTTGATCTTCGTAATTTTACCACAAATATGGTTTTCTAGATTCATCATATATCATTTGAAGATCATTGCATATACATCAACTGACATTCACATTTCAAAACTGCCATGTACATATGTCTTTCCGTACAACTGCCCAATTTCGAATTTATGATTTTGTCTAGTTTTCAATTACATGTATTTGCGTTTACAGCACACGGAAAAATCACCTGAACTCACCATATTGGAGTTAACAAGGAGCAAGTTTAGCATTATTTGCTATGATGTAACCTGCATCAGTATTTAATTAAGGTAAACAGTAAAATAATCATGTGAAAATAATGATGATTAAACTGAGTACCAGCTGCAACCAATAAACACTTTCTCTGCGTGTGGAAAACATATTTAAAGTCGTGGTTGAGACCAGGAGCATCACTTCCATGCTTGCTGTAGATCTTTTTGCGACATCTCATCAACGAACATGAAGCTGTTTCTCCTGATGGTTCTTGGTATGTATACTTACACTTCTGTTTACATCAACACAGTATAATGCCGAGACTTTAAGAATTGGTACAATGTACATTTGCTTTGATGTGTTCATGATGTAGTATGTCATGATAGATAAAGGTAACAGGGTTCTGAAAGATTTAGACACTTAATTAAACATTGAGTTCAAAGTCAAATCTACACAGACCACCCACCATTAATCATGATACCGCTGCAAATGCCCTACAGATTGACAATCTCTCTTCATACTAACATAGTGAGATACCATGCCGCAGCGCAAAAAGGATATCCTAATCGGACACATTGTACGGACTCCAATGCATCCCGTCCTAGGTGTATAACCTAAATGCCGATCGCCAGGCAAAGCAAAACCACACACCATATCTTGTGATATACTCTTTACATGTTTCGTCTTGGCCAGATATGTAACATACTGCTACTTCCTTTGAGCTTCATCCTCTGTTCGTTGCTTAACATAACTAATTTCACAACCTCAATGTGAGAAGACATTGAAAACTTTTATCTTTTGTTGCAATATATCAAGTCATTTAAAGAAATATGTAGACCCGAAGCTCCATATACAAGTATTATTCGATGCGATTCAATTATCTGAATGTAGAAGCCTAAGCATCTATATTAATGATAAAAGTACTGGACCTAAGGCTAATCATTGCTTACACTCGGACAGATACTATTGTGTGTTTTGGGTGTGATCGTACTGGCTACAGTGTTACACAGATGCGTAGATAGGATATTAGAGTTGAATTTTAGGCTTACTTTGTTCTTTTTCAGCCACTCTGTTGACTGCAGAATGTGTTGTTGCAGAAAGGCAAAAAATCAAGTTGGCCCCAACCAGTAAGTCGAAGACAAAACCAATAAGTTAACCGAGAATCTGGATGTACAATCCGCAATTGCATAAACATAAGGAAGTTTACAAAGCACGACATCTCACTACAAAGGGATTACAATAGCAGCTCAAAATGGAGTAGTTGTACAAGTTCAGAGGCAGTACAAATACAATATTGTGGACAGCAAAGAAAGACAGTTATGATATTAACCTCGCGGCTACAGTTGTCAAGTTCATGTTTTGTATTGTTTTGCCATACTGACTTCAGGTACAAAGAAATAGAGAGTGTCAATTTGCACTAAAAACATGTTTTCGGACGGGATCTGAGTGTCGGAATTCGGGATAGAGAGGTCCGATGAGAGGGAGTTTCTTATATGATATTATATAGGGACAAATTCGGAACCAACTATATATGTCGGTTTTCTGGGAATGTCGGATAGAGAGATGTCGGTTTAGAAGGAGTCCACTGTACTTCTAAGATAGTCACAATGGCATGCTTTCTTCCTTTGTCAAATTCCTACTAGATCAAAATTCTGTACATTCAGAATCAAATGACAGTGTTATAGAACACTTTGTAAACCTATTTTAATCGCTCTTAGTATCAGTAATTTGTCCATTGTATATCAAAACTGAATTGGTCTTGAAAATGAATTGTGATTATGTCAAGTTAAAGTATTTGACATGTATGTGGAATATTTTGTATATTTCATAAATTGTTATTGTTATAGTGGAATGATATGCAACCATGAAAGGGATTTTTCCAATTGTCTAATAAATTACATTTTGCTTCTGTTTTCCTTTGCAAAAACAGTCTATGCAAGAGCACGGTTCACAAGATCCATACCAGATCGTCGTGGTTGGTCTGGTTTCGTAGGCAGTCTGAAAAGGCAGAAGTGTATCACGTTCTGGCACGGAATGGTGAGATGGAAGGAACACGTGCGCTACGATTCTAATGTGCATCAAAACAAAATGAGCAATAAATCATTTTTGTTCTGCAACACTTGTTCTGATATACAGTTTCCTACATTATATGCAAGTTTACTTCAATTCTGTAGTCAAAAGAATCGCTGTGAAACCAATGAGGACAAAGAAATGTTATACAATTAACAATTGCATTATAAAATAAACTGAGTTTACAAATCAATCCGAACTGCCACAAACCAATAACAAAAGCATTAGAACAAGGTGATTTTAGGTGAGGTTAAATGGGGTTTAGTGTCGAACTTAAAGAATATGTCGCTCATATAACGACATACATGGGTGTGTGTGTGTGGCCGCTTTTACTAGCCCAGACTTCAGCTGGTCCGATGGTGCTATCTCACTGAGATGCCATGCTGCACTTAAGCATGGATATCCCACTCAAACACCTCATACTGACTCCGAGCCTTATATCCATTAATGCCGAGAGCCAAGCAGGGACAAACACATACCATATTTAACATCTTTTGGAATGACAGCGCCGGGGATCGAACCTGCGACCTTCCGCTCACCGAGAGGACGTTCTAACCACTACGCCACGCAGGCAGTCTATTACAACAAGGAGCATCAGTACAAATTCAGTGTGAGAAAACTCCAATGGCTGTCTGGCATACAGTAGCATTAATATTTAATTAATTGTGGTCTATGAAAGTGATTGCATTAGCTTTTGTTCTGTTTTCACAGACTCCTGAACGAGGCTTCATTTACTCAGAGCTTCTAATCTGTAATGGATAACAACTTCCTCTTTATTGCATAGAAAGACGTTTCGATGTAGATTCTTCCACCGGTATCAAGATAAGTGTGTTGACCATCGAGTTGTACATGCTTCACCAACTGCTGGAAGGACGATAAAACAAGTTTATGCTGTAGGCGTCAAAACCCCGAAGTGTCGATGCCGCACGCAATGACAGCTGGTTTATATACACGCGCATCTCCATTTTTCCATCCTTGATTCGGACGGACGGTGGTACATATTTACAGCCTACGCATGTGTAAAACATATTCGCTGAAGTATACAAAACAGATTACAAGTATTTGAAAGGGTAAATATGTCTCGCTCGGCACTCATTAGATTCAGGTAGGGCCAAAACCAATATTGACTATATTTTAACGCTAGGAACCTATATCCGTATACAACATAACAGGTGACAAACTGAAAATTTGACATTGGATACTGTAGAAGTTTGGTAATAGAAACAAATAATGAAATTTGCATAAAAGATGTCGTTAATGTGGGTGTCGCAAAGTATACTCCCCATCAACAGTTTAGACTCACTAGTGTAGCCAAATGAAGCCACTTACTTCAGTCAACTGTTCTGGGCCTCCTTTCACAAAGCACTAAGGTGATCGTAAGTCACTAAGGTAACATTAGTGCAATGTTAAAAAAAGAATAGGAGTTAAAAGGTAAACCTTAGTAAAGGTTGCTTCGTGAAAGGAGCCCCTGAACTAGACTTTGTAAAATAATCCATACAGTTTAAAGGGTACTGTTTATACATGAGCTGGTGTATTGTAAAACAAATTCGTAACGTTGAAAAGTTTATTGTCATGTGTTCAATAAATGAAACTGGGTGAAAAATGGCGTTTTTATCAAAACTTTACACCAAAACGCAGCGGTTCACATGCACATGCTTTTCAGCAATTTGATGCATGGTCCTCGTGCAATTAATCTGCATGAGGTTTGTAGATATTTCCCCAAGTTAGTGGAGAAATTCATCTTCGTTGTAACCATATGTACATACATAACTTATAGCGATTGATTAAAGCGACTCTTAACTTTTAATGGGTAGTATATATTTGCACGAATTTACAACCCGAGGCCTCACAGCAGTACCCCTGCCATGCGGCGACGGCCTATGGTCAAACAAATGAGTGAAGTATGATTTTATGTCGCTTTAGCAACAATATCACGACGGAGGGCACCATAAATGGACCTCACACTTTTTCGCTTATGTAGGGATTTGAACTTGGGTCAGAAAACGCTTTAACCGCTAGTTTACCCCATCGCCGCTGTTATAAACCAGACCGATAGAAAAGTATAATACTTTATGGATAACAACTTCTTTATTTGTTATGATGGGTCATTTCGGTATAGCGTCTTATATCGTTGTCCAGCAAGAGCAAAGTAATACAGCACAGAACCGACTTATATACATGTAACAAGGATTAAGTAAGACAACATAAGGGAATACATCAAAGAGATTAACAACAACAACAATGGGATGGAAGTAATAATACTATAACAATGGGAGGAGGCCAATGTTGAGGGAGGCGGAACAAGGTATACATAACAGATTGGGTAGGTAATAATACAAAGAGCAATGGGAGGAAGCCAAGGTTGAGGAGGCAGAACAAGGTATACATAGCAGATGGGGTAGGTAATAATACAATAACAATAGGAGGAAGCCAATGATTGAGGAGGCGGAACAAGGTATACATTACAGATTGGGTAGGTTATATACAATAGCAATGGGGGAAGCCAAGGTTGAGGGAGGCAGAACAAGGGTATACATAGCAGATGGGGTAGGTAATAATACAATAACAATGAGAGGAAGCCAATATTGAGGAGGCGGAAAAGGTATACATAGCAGATGGGGCAATAATACAATATAATGGCTTCCTCCCTCACTTCACATCATAACAAATAAAGAAGTTGTCCATAAAGTATAATACTTTTTCTATTATCCATCAACTTCTAAAATGCCAATCAAACAGATCATAAACCAGACCATCAAGTCTTCGAAGAACCCCAAATCCAGTTGAGTTCAGACATTCCTTTGCCTTAACAGGTAAAGAAATACATTTTAAGGAAATTTATTTGTTTTACATCAAAGTTGTGGGCAGGTTTAATGTCTCAAACACATCAATCAACTTCAGAATGTTGTAAATCTACTGGGTTAAACATGCTGACCATTTCTTTATTACTTTGGTATTTCGAAGAGTTTGCAGTTAGCCTAACGATAAAGGGACAATGGGAATTCAACACAATTGAAAACATTTCCATTTGGTCTAATTTAAGATATTTCACACGGGCCTCGTGGTAACAAGCGAGAGTTATTTGAAATGCCCTCAAATTTAAACTCACACTTCAAAGAAGAACATGTGAATCGTTATCGTGAACGCTAACAAATAGAATTCCAGGTTCCCTTGAGGCGCTAAAGATAAAATAGCGGTTGATATGGTATGTACGGAGACAACTCCGTTAATCCTTTTCATTAGTTTGTGAAGAGTTACCCCCTTCGTTTACTTGCTAGTAGACGACATTTTCAGTGATCCTCAGTATCGATGATATAGAGAAGAGGATGTTGATTTTAAGAGTAGGACATCAGATCAGCTAAAGTGATTTCAAAATGGGAACAGGCACCTTTGTCCACTGTTTATCGTGTTTTGAAAAATACTGCAAATGGATATGGCATTGAGCACCAGGGAGGCGGAGGTAGGCCCAGACAATTGACTGTCGGTGACAGGAGGTGGCTTGGTATTCTTGTTTCTAAAACAAACGAAGGAGTTTAGAAAACTTAAGGCTGGATATGATTGATAGAGGAACTGTGGCTGTCTGTAAGGAGACAATTAGAACTGAGCTGCATGCAATGGGTTGGCAGAAAAGTCGAGGAATTCCATCACCGATCATGAAACCTGAACAAAGGAGTGAAGGTTGAACTAGTGCTTACAGCATAGAAAGTTTGACTGGGACAATGTGATTTTTCTCCAGATGAAAGTTCTGTGTGGCTGTTTCCTAATACACTGAAATTCTGGACCAAACAAACTGAAAAACCTTTGTAGCAGCGCCCAAAGTACAGTCGAAATTTAACGTGTTGGGTGGCATATCTGTGTTAGGGACAACGCCCTCTGTGTATTTGAAGGGAATATAAACTGTGAGCGGTACACAGATATTCTCGAGGGACATTTACTTCCATCTGCTCACGCGTTGTATGGAAATTTTTGATTTTCCAGCAGGACAACGACCAAAACATCGTTCAAAGCATTCACATGCCTGGTTTCGGAACCAAAATATGACATTATTAAATTGGCCAAAGCTATAGCCCTGACCTACATCCAATAGAAAGGTTTGGGGACTTATGAAGGAAAGTGTCAATAAGAAAAATCTGACAAATATTGCTGAAATGAAAGAAGAGGTGGTCCGATATTTGGACAGCATGGACCACGACTTGCATGCCGCATTGAAGCCTGCATTGCTGCCCATGGTGACTTGACAAAATACTAACTGTTCACCTGTCTTTGAATCTGGAGTTATGTTCTGCTAATATTCACATTTTATACGTGAGTAATGAGTGAAATTTTTTAAAAAATTACAATCTTTAATTCTCAATAATTTCTGGTTGTACTGTAAGAAGCAACAACGTCTTATTTCTATTGACACTATGAAACGCCTTTTAAAAATCAACAAAGACAACATAAATTTTACTTTTCCTCCTCGTTTGATTAAGAGACCACGGTCAAGCATGTCCTGCTTGACTGCGTTGAATCTCTGCATCATTAGGGATAAATATTTCAATATCAATTACTGTAAATGAACTTTTTTAATAAAGTTAATTATCATTTAATCATTGATTTTTAAAAGAGATAGATTTGTTAAATGAATTTTTCATATATGTGTTGTAAATAGATAAAGTTTTATAATTGGTAGTTCAGATTATCAACTTAGATTGTTAGTGGCTCTATCCTCAAAGGGTTGAAGTAGCGTAAAATTATTGTCCTCCTAAGAGGGTAAGTCAATTCAAACTTACCAGGAATTTTAAACGTAATATTCTTGTTATATTAATTTTGGCTAAATTTTTATTTACAATCGCCAACAGCTGAAGGGATGGTGTAAATCCAACTAGGGCCCATGCAGGTAGCAAAGGTACTGTAAGTCCCCATGGTCCCTGGTATGGTGATCTACCTTCAGTTGTTGGCGATCTATAGCCTGTTTTATATTGTATTGTCCAAATAG